AAGTGCGAGTTCTGCACCGGCAATGATCATGCAAAGATAAGAAGATCGTCAACGTTTCGAGCGTCACAAAACCAAAAGTGATATTGTTTCAGGTGCCTGTAGATCCATATAATCGATAAATATGGCGCGACAGAGATCCACTTTAACAAAATACGTAGGACTTGGGGGGGGGGGAGGGGAGCGGAGGCAGAAAAATACTTGAGCCTGCCTCCGAAATACGCTCAGAACAGTTTTTCCCAAGATTTGACGCACGCTCTCTTCACATTTGGGAGCAGGAATGTAGTTTCTCAAAAATGGTTTTGGGGTTGATCCCTCAAAATTATGATAAACAGAAAAAGATAGATATAAATTATATTAGTTCAGGTGCCATTTTAGACGGTTCCAAATTTCGTCGGTGACAGAAAGAGCAGTTTTTCACCCCTGCTCGTATTCATGAAGAATGGAATCAAACCTGCAGTGTGTATATCAGACTTCTTGGATATTTTATCGATAGATCATAACCCATGGTGGGTGCTTCTTGCTATTATTGTATGTAAAAATTGTGATTTTAAGTCAATGGCTTGTGTCTTGAGCATGTCAAAGACTGGCGAAATGTTGACGAAATATAAGAAACCAGATAGGAATGTTATGGAGCAGCAACAGGATCTTCACTGAGCGTACTCGGGGGCTGCTTAGTCGCTTTGTCCGGAATTCCAGAGTTTTGGAATTCCGAAACCTTCAAACATCCAGTTTAGAAGCTCGACGGACAGGGTCGGAAGTCTTCGGACGTTTTTGGACAGCCGATATCATTCTATCGTGGCGCGAACAGCATATCATGACCTCACTGATGATGCATCTTAATTAGTCGTGATCATTTTCTTCACTGTCATCCGTTCCGAGTTAGGAACCGCAGCCACGTGAGTGGTGGCCAGGGTAATAGATGATATGTAATAGAGATTTGATATAAAAAGATAGAATTTTTTGTACAGCCTTATTTTTGGACTCTTTTCGGACGGGCAGTGGTTCCATCTTTGCACTCCGGATTGGGCAACAACTTTAGAAAACGACACATCTAGTCAGAAAACTGGCGACCAGGCTTCAGAAATGTGGAGAGGCTCAAATGATCTCACGGCCTATTACTCGCAGCATGTTAAAATGGTTACTCGCGTGTGGTGTGCACACCACACGTGAGTTATACTTGCTAAAACCAAACTAAAAGCCATGGTTTTTAGCCGGGTAAAGGTCACGACTTCTGAGACCCAACTCACGCTGCGAACGAGTGTTCGCGTCCTGCAAGAAATGATGCTGTTTTCACTGGTCGTTCACACCTGAACTTCCGTGAAACTACACCTCATTCATCACCACCATCATCTCTGATGCGACAAACTTACCAGTGACGTTATCGCATATGACGTCAGCCGAGGTCCAGCCGTCAGTGCGGGCTAAGTCGGCCAGGCAGTCGGCCACTGCGGCGGTTGCCAGGCGATCCCCAGTAAACAGCTGATCGGTGGTGATGACAAGGTCACTGAAGGTCGTCCGGTCACCAGTGACCACGGGGGCCGTGGGAGCCGGCAAGTCCGCGGCGCTGCTGTTGTCGACAGAGACGGGTTCGTCCGCAGGGGTCATCCCGCGCGCGGCGGTAGCTCGGTGGGCTGAGGCGTTGGAGCCTGCGGTAATGTTGAGTTCAGCAGCGGTCATTCGGTCGGTCATGAGGTCACCAGCGGTCATCCAATCGGAGGCGAGGTCAGCAGCGGTCATTCGGTCGGAGGCGATTGCTGTGTCAGCGGTGACGACAATGATCTGACCCGGAATGATGACCTGGTCACCTGTTATCAGTCGTGCGCGGTGACCACTTGAGGGAACAACAGCAGCAGCCGCAAGCCACAGCAGCGGCGGCGGCGGCGGCGTTGGCAAAGGAGCCGGGCCCCTCATCATTCCAGCACGCCGAGCTCTGGGGATCAGCAGTGCACAAGCCCGGCGTTGAACCCAAGCGAGACGAGAAGCGGGTCTGATCCCGCTTGGTCCGGCTGCCTCGTTCGCTGAGCGGTCCTGCGCGAGGCGTCCGGTCTCCGGGACCTCGGTCCCCGACGGGCCGGCGGTCTCGTCGCCCGGTCCCCCTGACGGACCAACCAAGTCGGCCCGGTCTCTCTGACGATCCGCCCGTCCCACTCCGGTCCCTGATGGACTCCTGCTTTCGGTTCGGTGAATCCGATGGGCCACCGGCTTTGGTCTGATCTCGATGATGCTGACACTGATGCTGATGTTGATGCTGATGCTGATGTTGGTGCTGATGCTGACACTAATGTTGATTTTGATGATGATAATGATAAGAATGATGATGATTTGGATTTTCCGGCGCCACAACAGCTTGGTCACTCGGTGCCCACAGGTGCGGTCTTGGCAGCAGGGCGAGGTCTCCTCGGTCAGCTTCTTCGCCCGGCTTGTTCCCTCGCCTGCACCCCGTGCCCCGTCTCCACACTGACTGACACGAGCAGAGACCAAGTCACCGCGAAGCTGTCCGCTGGACCGATCTCAGAAGGTGGACAAATTTCGGCGACTGGAGAGACTGGAGCGACTGAAGCAGCGCGAGTGATCGGAGGCGCTTGAGCGACTGGTGGACTGGAGCGACTGGATCAGCTGAAGCGACTGGACCGACTGGAGAGACTAGCGCTGAAAGGCGAATGGAACAGCCGGACCCGTGCGGGTTATTGGAGCACCTGCCGCTGACGTCTCAGCAGGGACTGATAGGTCGGCCGGAGCGCGCAGGGCGTCTGTAGCAGGTGGAGCCCTCCGTCCCACCCGCCCGAGGGCCGCATTGATCAACCAGAAATGTTCTGGACTAACACTTGCCGCATTTTATCGATAAGGCGCACCGAACACTGCGTTATGAGGCATGCATTCTGTCTTCCTTTCACCATGAAATGACGCGTGTGCGCTTCGACAGCAACTGGTCGCTATTTACTAAGCGATCCGTTTTGGCGGACAAAGTCATACGTCTGCTGGTTTGTAGTTGTGAATAAAGCCAATATAAACAGCTTTTCGCGACTCGCAGGAGCCCAATCGCCTCCGCTCGTGCTGTAATTAGTGCGACGTTGGGGACGCTGCCCGCCCGCGGTTCAAAAGGTGCCGAGCGGCCATTAAAGGATGCATTTGTTTTGCCATACCAACAAGTTTCTTTGCGTTGCTGCACTGCGACTCTATGGGGTCCATTAGCGTTGAACTACTGCCCAATTGTCTCAGCTGTAATCGATCATTCCAGGGCTATGGAATTATGAAGGGAAGCACCCTTGCGATACATGTCCCATAATATTATATATATATATATATATATATATATATATATATATATATATATATATCTCTCTCTCTCTCTCTCTCTCTCTCTCTCTTTCTCTTCTCTCTCCCTCTCTCTCTCTCTCTCTCTCTCTCTCTCTCTCTCTCTCTCTCTCTCTCTCTCCTCTCCTCTCTCTCTCTCTCCTCTCTCTCCTCTCACTCCTCTCTCTCTCTCTCGTCTCTCTCCTCTCTCTCTCCTCTCGTCTCCTCTCTCTCCTCTCGTCTCTCTCTCTCTCTCTCTCTCCTCTCCTCCCTCTCTCTCTCTCTCCTCTCCTCCTCCCTCTCTCTCAATCTCTCTCTCTCTCCCTCTCTCTCATCCCTCTCCTCTCTCCCCCCTCTCTATCTCCTCTCTCACCTCTCTCATCCTCATTTCTCTCTCTCTCTCTCTCTCTGGCACATGGAATAAGTTTTACGTTAATAACGATGAAAATTGTGCATTACTATCCTGAGAACATTTTTTTGTACGGAGATCACAACTGAAGAATGACCAATTAAAGTAAGTCAAGACCCTATCAAAACTTTCATGCGTACCAAATGCACTCGTAATGAAAACACTACAAAGACACGAACACGTTGCCACAATCATGTCTATAGTACTTACCACTCACCACCTAGTATTTTAACTGTTGTGTAAGAATGTGCTTGTTTAGGGGTGAGCAGTGTTTGCTAATAACTATGTTTTCCCAAAATGGAAAGCGTCTTCTACCACTGCACGCCTGAAAAACGTTAATGCTGTTCGTGAGTTGTTGGTATCTCAATGTCCTGTCATGCTCGTGTCGCATGTGGTCCAGAGGTGCCTGCCACGCGCATGCATTGCCAGGCGTCGTCAGAGTGTCGTGGTTACGTCAATATAGCGTATGAAACGAACTTTGCAGCCTTCGATATTGCATTTGAATCGAGAAACTATATTTGTGCATTGCAAACACACGCACACACACACACACACACACACACACACCACACACACACACACACACACACACACACACACACACACACACACATATATATATATATATATATATATATATAATATATATATATATTATATGTATATATCCATATTCGAAAACCAGAACACAGGTGGATGAAAGTGATAGAACTTCCGTACCCGTTTGTTGACGCCCACAACTTTGGCTACACATTCTGAGAAATCGATATCCATGCATACCACTCACTGTCACTTACCTTTTCATGGCTACTCTTGTTTCGGTCAGTGCAAGTCCCTTCTTATCTTTCCTACGTCGCATTTCCCAAAATTAGAACAAGTGTCCCCCACCCAAACGTACTCAAAAACGACAAACGATAGAGCTTCCACACCAAACTCCTGCTTCTCGTTGTCCGTATTTAATTTAATTTGGGGGTGCTTTCTCTCCATGCTAACGGGCTGAGAAATGCTACTGGTGCTGACAAAATACTGACAAATCTCTCCATGCAGATGGGCTGACGCGCGCGGGCCGCAAAGCGCTTGCAGAGTGCATTTACAGTACCATGAAGGTTTCTACGTTAGGATCTGGTAGCACTTTATCACTGTTGGTATCCAGTAATTGATTGCCATTATGGCGAGCCGATTACACTCACCAATCCGCGTAGACACGGGAGCTAAAGCGAAGCAGGAGGGGTGTGTGGTGTCGGTTAGGATGAGGGATTGGAAGGGTAATAGGGGTAACTGAGACATGGTACGTGTGTGGATGCAGAGTATGCGTCTTATTTTACCTGTTTGATTTTCTTTTCCGGGCGAGTTGTTCATAAAAAATTTTGTGCGCTGCACTTACGTGTCATTTGACGGCCTTCGGTGTACTGGCGCCTTTCCGGTCACATTTTGGGGTGTACACTGGCCATGCCCCATAACTTTACGTTCTAAAATCCCTAGAAATAGTAAGACATTTTGCACTGCAGATATTAGCAGTCACCTTGCCTTGGATCATGGTTAGTAATCCTGCTGCAATGTTTATGTTTGAATTGTTTGTCATTTGGGACCAGAATGTATAAATGCACAAGCTAGAATGCTGTATGGATGCATCTTAAGTCACCTTTCTTTCTTATGTATTCAACACCAGAGCTGGAAACTTAACATTTTGGGCATTTGTGTCATGTTATTCACTGCACCCAATGCACTGATTTGTGACAGGTGAAGGAATTATATCAGAGTGTGGTAGCAGACCTTGTCATAGCAGGCCCAATCACAGGTTTTGTACTTTCTTTCCTTCCTATACTATCATTCTTAATTATTAAGATTTTCCTAAGATATAGGTTGGCATCTGTGCCATCCTGCCAACCTCCCCCTATAACACTTTCTGCCATTCCTGATGAGCACAAGCAATAACAGATTTTGAACTGCTGCAGAAAGATGGAAAGAACATAAGTCCTGATAAGATGCTGGAAAAATTAATTGTAGGCACTAGTGTGCTAGGGTGCTGTTGCTGGGTAATGGTAAGGCAGGCAAAACAGTATATTGGGTTTATATTATATATGCATTGTTATGCATATTATGTTAAATGGAATGCTGATATTACTTTGGGGCTAGCATCCCATCCCCTTGTGGTGCCACTCCAGCTATCACATGTCTTCTTGTGCTCAGGCTTTGACAGGGATTTTACGTACCAAAAGTAGTTGCTTGGTCAGTCTTCTTTTGAGAGGGTGTTGAAAGATGTGTTGTTTGCCAAAAAAAGTTTTCAGGCTGATAATTTAGTTATGAGTAAGGAAATTTGCAAACCAAAAACATTTCCTTGGTCATCTTTATTGGAAAAAGCTGTGATGTTAATGTTTCACCATGACGTTTAACACAAGCGGTTGCTTAAGCCTTTTTTTGCTAAGAGTTAAGGTAATGTGTGGCATCCCTTTTAATTGATGAAGCATCTTTTTACCCACAAACCAGCTGCCTTGTGTTTTTTGATATTCATTTAAATCTATATTCAGAAGATATTTTATAGGAAACAAGTTTTGCCCCCTTTTATCAATATTGTGACACTGTTGTATGATACAGCTCTGTAGTACCAATGAAAAACGCCTTTATAAATGCTGGGTTTCTCCAAAAGCAATATCTCCACATTTTGGGTAAATCAGAAGCCACTTTATGAGAACTTAGCACCTTTTGATACTGTTTGAGTAAACAATGCACTGTTAACTTAAGAATAAGTCACTTGAACAGTGCCAACAATTTTGGTCGCTATTGTCTCAAAACTGGAATCTACCAACAAGGGTGCAAGTATGTATCCTTAAACTGTTAACCTTCCCTATCTTGAAAGGTGCAGCATCATGTGGTATGTTCAGTATTGCTAACAACTATGTCAGAATGGACTGTTGACCTCAAAAATTACATCCTTACTACCCAATGATTTTTCAATCCCAAATGCTTAGGGTTTTCCTCGGCAGTGTTCACAGTAACTGGCTCCCTGCCGTGCTGCTTGTGCACCTCGGTCACCCAGGCATGTGGTGGATGTTGGGCAGCACGGCTGTAGTCTTGTGAAACAGGTTTGGGAGAGATACAAGAATGGATGAGAAGGACCCACTTCACCCCCAAAATGCGCCAACAGACTGGTTTCTCCCCAGATGTGGCCCACATTCTTGTCCAAGTTGGGGAATGGGGCTGAGGCTTCCTTCCCTGCTCTGAATGGGAAACTGCACGTCTGTTGAGCAGGAAGTTCGATTTAACAGTTCATGGATGTACGTTATTTCAACTCGACACTTAACTTACAGGAACATAATTCATAAATTGACGTTGAAATGCGTCTTTGGTACGCTTAAACAGGGTTCATCCGTACAAGTGAAATGTTCCCTTACAGCTTGCACTCTCCCGAAATTCCCTTGTCTTCTTCCAGCCTCCAATGTTCGGTCTCCGGAGCCTGGTCGTGTGCCGCCGCCACCTGCCTCAGCAGCGCCACCTATATTCGGCACTGTGGCGCCATCTGCACACGGTATCTCCTCTCCGCGCGCCTCTGGAGCCGGCGGCCGCGCAGCAACGGTCCGAGTGCTCGCCGCCACCGCCGGCACTGTCTCGGCACCTGCACACGTGCCAGCCGCTTTCCCGACGCCCCCGGCTGGCCGACCCCGACTTCGAGATCATCTACCGGTTCCCGTACATCGGCGCTGTGCGCATGCTCTGTCGCCTGAAGCTGTACCAGACGGGGCTGACACTGCTGGCGACCCCGGCCACCCTGCTGCTGGTGGACGGCACCGCCGCCACCCAGGTGAGTGCTGCTACGGAAGCCCTGCTGGTGCGGCTAGCTGATCCGGTTGTCTGATGTCGCATGGTGTGTCAGATGTGTTGGGTGTGTCATGTGTCCGGTGTGTCAGATGTCGCATGGTGTGTCAGATGTGTTGGGTGTGTCATGTGTCCGGTGTGTCAGATGTATGGCAGGTGTGTCACAGTGTGCTGCGCTAATCGGGCGCTCCTGCCCAAACGTTGACTCAAATAGCTGCATGACTATTTGAACTGCGGTTCAAAAGGAATATTTCACATGTGAAGATTTTGAGGCAAGGATTAGATTTGATGAAACAAGTTCACCTACAGCTCATGGTGTAATTCTTAAGGGGAAAAGAATGCTCTAGACAACACAATTCTCTGTTAAGTAAATGCGTTATGGTTTGATAACATCATCGAACATTGCACAACATTGATCGGGAAGCATTTGTTGGCCGTTATACCTTGAAATCGCACTCACGAGCGCTAGATATGAGTGCCTCGACAATTATATTTTGCGTGGCCTTGATGGCCGCATGGCTTGTAGAATGACAGAATTTGAATGACATTATGACCTCATGAATCTCAGGGTAATTTCATAATGCTCTCCTCGATATACCGTTACCATTTTTTATGCAGGCGTGTAGCTCAGAAACCAGAGGAGCGTAGGTCTTAATAAGGCAAGGGTTGTGAACAGCACCGAAAGGTCTTCAAAATGGCTATTTCAGTTCAAAACCTTATATAAATGTGGAGCGCTCTCTATAATCACACGCACAAGTGTGCGCTTAGTCTTGAGAGTGACACCATGTCAAATAGCATCCTGCCACACCGCCGTGTGGCGGTGTGGCGGGATGCCTACAGAGCCATCGTGCCATCTTCGTGTTGCATTTCAAGGTGTCACTTAGTGGTCTTAAAGCGGGTGATTTCGTTCAAGAAAGGTGTGCCCAAGTCTGCTTTGTTCGCGAAAAGAGCTCCAGGAACATGTGCCGGCACCGCATGACGAATGGTGATGACTTGGGATAATAGCCACTTGCCGCTTGGGACTTGGGGTTTGGTTTCCCAAGCCAAGAGTTGAGGGAGACTGAACAATGAAAAATGACCCAACCTGCCCCCAAAATATGCCAAAAACAGGCTTCTCCTCGGATTTTGCCCACTCTAACCATTGTTGGGGGGGGGGGGGGGTAAACTCCCCACCCAACTGAATAGGAAACCACACTTCTGACTTAAGATTTTTGGGCACATCAACTGTTTAAAAGTCATCAGATGTCCAAAATATGGCTCAAGCATTAGACTGAATATCTTCTGAACAGCGATGACTGAGTGTAGCATATGTTTTGTGTTATGCCTGCGTTGAAGACAGCGAATTTGGTCGCAGGTGGGCGTCGTCGGTGTGTTCACCTGCGTTATGCTGTTCGTGATGGGCGAGTTCTTCCGCCGCTTCGTGGGCATCCTCTACCTGAAGCGGGACGGCCAGATGCTGAAAGTGGCACACCTCACGTTTTGGGGCGGCCGCCACGATCAGCTGATCCCGATCAGTGACGTGGTGCCCTTCTCCGAGCTGCACGACTCGCCCCGGGCGGTGTACTTCGCCTTGTGTCGCTACTCCAGCCCCCAGAGATTTTACATGTCGCTGCGCTATGGTGGCGTCACCAGCCGGGAGAAGTTGGAGACTGTGTTTGGACCGATTGACGACAGATGACAAGCAGAACCTTCGCTCAGCGCGATGCGGTGATGTGTATCCCGTTTTTCAGAGTTTTGGGTGCTCATTTTAACATGTCGTAGTAGGAAGGTTGTTGTACATCTGTATGATGGTCATTAAAAGACGATCCTTCGTCACGGATCATCTTTTTTAACGCATGGCAATGTGGCTAATTACCTTGGTCGAAAGTAAATTTATAATGGCCATGTGGTCACTACCTGGTATGCTGTATAGCTTCCCTCGTTTCGCTTCAAATCAAGGTGTTTTATCATTCAGGGTGAGTACATATGTCTCTGCCGTGTGTTATCTGAACGCAACGTTTTCTATATGCCAGGCTACGCCAAGGGTGCCAGTAATTCGGTGATTGATGTGACCTCGAAACCCAACTACCACAGCTTCTAGAAGTATACGCCAGCTGATCGGCCATTTGCCCGAAATTCTACTCGCTGCCGGAGGAAACCTCTGAACGATGCCATTGTCAGCCACGATAGGACGCGTCAACCACACTGAACACAGCCGGCGAACGTGAAAAGCTCAGAGGAAACCTCTGAACTATGCCATTGCCAGCCACGATAGCTCACGCTGGCCACGCTGAACACAGCCGGCGAACACGAAAAGCTGTATTGTTCTATCACAATGGTGAAGTGAGTGTCGAGTGCAGCGAGGGCAGGCGCGCACGCCGGCTCCTGTACGGTCGCGCCGGCTATACGCCGGAGGTCCCCCGCCCAGGGGAGCGGGTCCCGGGGTCCCGTGAGAGCCACGCTGTTTGGCACAGAAGGCCCACTCTATTGTTACGTTCGTCCAGCAGTAATTAGGTAGCTCCGATGCACTTAACACGGCCTTGCGTCTACTAGCACTACCAAAAATTGAAGTCGCGGACTTGTTACACGGGGTGTGGGGGGTTGGGGGAGGGAAGGGGATAACCGAATAGCCCATGTGACGAGCAGTCCAGAGAGGCCGTTCTGCAGGACCAGAGCATGTCGGCGCACACTCACTGCTTACAGAAAACACAGTCAATAGTACACACAACCGGAGCGTGTTGAAGTCCGCTCCAATGCATTCTCGACAGTCCTTAGAACCGGACAACAGCACGCATTCGACGCCCAGCGCTCGCTGGGGCGTGGTACATGCGCGTGGCACGTGTCAGAGCCGACACGTGCGGTAGGAATGTTAGACGGGCACAGACGTGCGACAGGGGCCTGCTATGTACATACACGGGGCGGCCCAGCAGCGCGCGAGCTTGGCGCCGCCGGCCGCCGGCAGAGCCGTGCTCTGCGCCATCTATGAGTGACCTCCGCGGCGGCGCGCTAGTCGCGAGTGATCAGCACGATGCCGAGACACGGAAATATCAGTCGGTCATGCGTAAACTCTTGAGTCATTCTCTCCACCGGTCCGTCTTCGCCGCCAGTAACGGGGCGGACTGAGGCGCTAGCTCGAGTTCCCAGACTTCCCGACAGGGGGCCTCCGATCTCAACATTGCTGTTAGACGCCGGCAATGTCTCCGTTCACTGTGATACGTACGCCACGTGATTTAGTTTTTCGGTTGCTGCGTGGGCCGGAGACCACCGATTAACTCTGAGACATCTAGAGCCTACAACACCAAAGAATGGCACATCGACACAAGGTAAGACTAGCGGGTTACATTTATCTACTATTAACCTCATCCGCGTCCTCATCACGTGATCCACCCCGCTCCGGACGCGTGGTCCGTCGTCCCAGTCACGTGACCACCAGCCGCCGGGCAATAAATAGGCTGGTCTGGCCACCTGGCGGCGCACTCCGGCTGCCGACAAATGCGGCACATCTGCGGCGAAATAGGCGCACTGGACGACCGCGCCGCTCCGCGTCTCTTTCTCTCTCTCTCTCTCTCTCTAGGGTAAAGCTCTGAACACTGCTCCCAGCGCAGCCTGCGCCGCTCAGTCCTTCTTCCTGCACACCTTGCGCGCACGCTTCCTCAGTCTGCGCATGCGCCGTGACCAGTTGTTCTTCCACTCGAGGACAATGCTCTTGTTGTCGACCAGAAGGCCGGAGCGGCTCTGCGGGTCCACGCCCAGAATCAGGTACTTGCTGGAAAAGTCACAGGGTTCTGTCAACGAGGCCCGCCTCTTCACCGAGAAAGTACATAATATATTATTATCAATTTTGTCCAGTGGGGTGATGCAGGCTCACCGAAAAGGGTGGAAAGGATTGGGTTAGAATAGGCTCGAGTTCGATGTGGGGTAGGCATGACCTAATGGTCACGCCTGTTCCGAAAGTGAATAGCTTGATCCCACAAAGGTCGAATTATCACGCCATTTTGCCCGAGGTGCGGACAAGTACGCGGGTGCTGCTAAATAAAAAGTTTCTGCTTTCACAAAGAACAGAATGAATAAGCTTTGGGGCAAAGTTCATCTGGAATGAGCACATCATATGACCATCAGCCACGCTCAGGATCGGCATGCATGAATGTCTGGGACGGCTCAAGGGCGGATCAAGGACGAACCGACGGCGAGGCTGCGGGCATGATGAGAATGTTCCGTTTAGGACGGCAATCTACAGGAAATCGAACCCAGAACGAACAACTCTTATTTTCGCCGTTTGGAAGAGGAAGAGTCCATGGGGTTATCACTGCTAAGGTACATTAGCCAATAACCACCCACTCCACCTATCATGACGTGCTAGGAGATAACCTGCTGCCTTACTGAGACTATCTACTGCCAACACAACGCCATGGTTATTACCAAAGCAGTTGACGTTCCCTAAAACACAGCAACCAACAGCAGTTTCTGAATATGGAGATACGCGTTTAGTGAAGGACAGCGCGAATACATGACATAAACAGACAGCGGGTCGCCGGCGCTGCCGTTGCGCTGGCCATCTTGAACGTGACGTCATCGGCGGCTATCTCCGCCGGCTCTGACCTGTTGATTTTGACCCGAGGGCAGTTGCAGTTGATGTCCTGGCGTCGGACCAGCAGGTAGCTGCTGCCGCGGCGCAGCTTCCACTTGGACGAGCGGCGGTACACCGTCTGTATGTTGACGACGAACTTGACGTAGCTGCCGAGCGTCTGCTGGTCCACCACCTGCGCCAGAAGCGCTGCCGACGCGCACCGCGGCGGTCAGGGTCAACGCAGAAACGCAGGGGCCTCCACCTTTCGTGAATGTTTGACACTGATTGTCCCCACGAAGAGGTGTGGTAAAAAGGCTTGAGAATGTGGTTAACGCACTGGTATTTTGGCATTTCCAGTCACTTGCGTCTTATGGTGGTAACACAGCAGCGGTGGCAACACGCCTTCAAGGACGAGATCACATCTCAGTGATTTCACGCGGTGAGAAGCTTAAGACGGGTGCAAAAAAGGTCCAAGTGCAGACATTCTACACAATCATCATCACTAGTGGAACGGGTCGATCGACACCCAAGCAAATTAATAAATGAATAAGTAAGGGGCGTTGCGCCACCCGCTGTCCTGGTGGGGCCTGGAGGGAGAGCTGGAGTGTGGGACCAGCAGGATCAAGCCTCAAGATCTGACCCAGGGGTGATTCCGCCATTTTGGCGAGGGCGGTATCCAGTCCCACCGGTCTCGGATGGGACAGGGTTTGGAAAGTCGGCCTCTGCTGGCGATTCCAGCTCAATACCGGCACGGCGAGGGCTACACCGCTGTGGGATCTTATGCCAAAAATCCTCAGAACAGGTGGGATATCAGATGGGATGTGAATGTTGCCAAGTTATGAGTCCTTAGTGGCAAAGGTCTGGTGCGTAAGTGGAGGGGAAGCGCGCCATGCTAGCCAGCGCGCTGTTGGATGTCGCTACTTACCATAATCGCGCTTGCACATTTTCTTGACGTTGACTTTTCTGCTCGTTATTCGGCACTTCCTGCACTTATCTGCTGAAGGATGAAGACATTAGAACTCGCGAATGATTGCAGACTGAACAGAGTGAGTAAACCCTGCCGCAATGAAAAGGCCACCACCCACCGACAGCCCTTGGGTACTTTGGCTTGCCACCAACGTCGACAGATGTCTCCCCGAGCTATTCCGTCCATGATTAATGCACCTCCATTTGGCAGATTTGTAATTGAGTTCTCTCTGCGGTCGCGGTCAACGGCATTCACTTATTTTGATTACGCTTTTATGGTGTTAATGTAGTTATTTATTGGACTCGGCGTCGGCCGCGCCACGTGAGCCCTCCGTCCACTTTATGATGGTGGTCACGGAGGCTCCCAGCCCGCGCCGCGCGATGAGTCCGGCCGTAAAATGGCGCGATCTGCCGACTCGGTCCGTGCCTGGCCGCGTCCGACCACCTGAATTTCAGTCGTCTGGCGAGCTCGGGCGGTGACCTTTGATGCTCTTTTAATCAGTCGGAGAGCCTCCGAGAAAAAAATGGCGGCCACAACGGGGATTTATACTAGTCCTCTTGAGAAGTCGTAAAAGACCGCCGTTAATTATTTATATCACGCCAGCGATAAAGAAGAGCAGCTCCATCTGTGACAAAGACGAGCGTCTTTGTAGCCGATGTAATCTTGTCCTTGGGGGTCATATATGAGCCAGTACCCGGGCATGTAGCAATCCACGCTGGGTGGTAAATTGTCGAAATCGTCACGCAGCTATAGATAGCACTTTTGCGAAAACCGCTCAAACGATTGTAGTAACCATTAACTGTTTGGTCTAAGAACACTGCGATTATATTAACCTTGGCTCAGAGAGATCATGATATGTATGCGAGATCAGATCTGGATCGTGATGAATGAAACACGCCCATGTGTTCAGCATCACCACTGCACTGTACCAATAGGGCAGCCACATCTTGCGAGATTTAATTGACGTCACGTCAAGAAAATTGCATCTGCTAAGATTTCTGAAAACATACCCTCTTGTGCTGATCAGTGATACCCGGACGTGAAGGCGTTGTGTAATCATTGCATTGCCATTGCCTTGTCATTGCCATGTCATTGTTACGTTGTCATCAGCATCCTAGAAGTATCTATAGCGTAATACGCTTACATTAACTATACCGCATCTCTGTGACCAACTGATACGGAATGTGGTGAACTGCCAACCTCAAGAACCCCTTTCTGAGTCTTAACTGCAGTCATTGCTCAGCCAAATTGGACACAATCTTCCACATTCGTCAGCCGTGGTATTCAACTAAAAAACTGAACATTGCAGTGATTCCAGGAGCGTAACCAAGCGAAAGGAAGACCACAAAAACACGAAATAGTAGTGAGGCATATAAAGAAAACGATGGAATATGGGTAACACCGAGAAAGAAATGCGTGCTAGGCCAACATTCTTGTGATCGTCGTCAGCCAGCGGGACTGAAAAGCGACGTGATGGACTGATGCATGGGTAAATGTATGCATAGAGGGCGAAAGGAGGCGAGAGTTAAAGAGGAGGGAAGAGGGAAACGAGAATGATAAATAGGAGGGTTGAGAGAGAACGGGAAAAGGAGAATAAAGAGAAATATAGAGATGAAAAGAAGCATAGAAAAGGAGAGAGGGAGACTGGACATATAGATAGATAGCTGGACACCGGAAGAGAAAAGAAAAGAGAAGAAACAGAAAGAAAGAATAGACAAGGAGGGAGAGAGGAGGAGGAGAGAGAGAAAGAGAGAGAGAGAGAGAGAGAGGGAGTGAGGGGAGATAGAGGGGGAGGCTGGGGCGCAGTGGTGGAGACCTGGCTACCGAACTGAAACAAACAACCCACGCCGCCACCCAAAGCGTGACCGGGGCATGGCCGCACGGTTTAGCGGGAGCCGATTTGTCAGACTCAGGACGACGCGGCACGGTTCTGCCGAGAATCTCCCGGATCAGAGGTACCTCCGATTGCGCTGACTCACGCGCCACCGGCACGGCATAAATAAGCACAACTGGAAAGACGCGCAGGCGCGGCGTAACGGGCCGGCCGCGGTCGGCTTTTGATTGGCTGTGTCGGGGGCGCGGTGCCGAGATTAATGATGGGTCGCGCTCTCCACAGAGCGCGCCGAATCAGAGCGGTGAACTCGCAGGCACGCGGAATCCACTGGCCGTGGGTCGCGCCGCGCGCCGAGGCTTAGTCTTCAAGGATTGCACGTGAGGTTGGCTTGAAATTGTGGCGACGGTCAACATCTGCACAGGAAATGCCCGCGCGTGGGGTGGATCGAAAAGTTCTGAATGGAGGACTCCTTTCGAACGGCGTCGCTTTTTGTAGCCGTGACGCGTTTCGTTTTGTTCTCGCAAATGCCCTTTTACCCTCAGGTGACAGCTGGGAAGAGCGCTTGGGGTAAGCGATATTGAACACTCTGGCTTGTAGCGCGGTTTGTGACGCTTACTTTATTCACTTTTTATGGATTATGTGTTTGAGTCATCACTTAAATATGGAGAGCAGGCAATTTCGGCGGCGCATCCCACTTTTACGACCTGACGTTGAAGGATGTCGAGGTGAATTACCTCGCGGACGTCTAGAGCCAGCGCGACCGGAATGCCTTTTTAGTGGAGCGTGTTTTTAAGTGTGAAGAAAATACGCCGGCGAAATATGGTGTAGCAATATGCCACAAGCCTGCATGCCTGGAGAGATCGTTTGCCACGGGAAAAGGCTGTTCCGGGACGTCAGATTTAACTGGTGTATTGTCAATTAAAGGCAGTTGGTACAAGCTGTTCCCTTCGTTTAGTTTTCTATGCTGGACCTCGTAACACTTGGGAGGTCAAATACGTAATGACAGCGTACTGACATGATATGCACTTGCTGCTCTCAGAATTGTTATGGTGAAACAAACCTGTGTGATCAGCTCTATGACCAGTTTGCATTCTAAACGCACCTAGTGAAAAAAAACTTAGCGCCTTGAGATACAGGAACGGCCAAGTTTCGCCAGAAACTTTCTGCGCCAGAAAGAGGGGGAAAAATCACCATGAATAATTCCGGCAGCAAATACACAGTTCTGGCTCCCTTGAGAACTGTTCTATGGAACGGGCTGCTAACCCGCGAGACAAGCTAAGGTGTGATAAACTTGCTAAGAGATGATAAACGTAGGCGTGTTTAGTCTAAAATTTTGCGGCGCGCATGCATTACAAACATCCGACAGCCCGCTAACACTGAGATCATAAGAAAACCAGCGGACAGTCAACACCGCACCAACCGCGCAGACAAGCATCCATCTGCGGAACTGAAGGTGCAGATCAGCCATATACATTCAGCAGTGCTCACATCCGTGGAATCCTAGTGGTATACACGCAGTCGTGGGTTTCCCACCCGAGATGCAGCAAATCAGTGTCGGTCCGCCTCTGGGCCTGGACGACGGTGGCAGAGGGAGTCTTAATACAGGTCGCAACGCCCCGGCCCTGAATAAGACGGTCGCCTGCTCCCAGCTTCGTCGGATGACGTCATCGTTAGCACCTAGCACTTAACCGTCAGTGCAGCACCTGGGCACTCGCCTAGCACCTGGGCACTAGCTCAGCACATGACCATGAGCCCAGCACCTGGACATTATCCCAGCACCTGGCCATCAGCCCAGCACCTGGGCATCAGCTCAGCGTCTGACCATCAGCCCGGCACATGGGCACCAGACCAGCACCAGACCACCATCTCAGCACCTGGGCATCAACCCATCACCTGGGCACCACCTCAACATCTGGGCACGAGCCCAGCACCTGGGCACAAGCCCAGCACCTGGGCAACACCTCATCATCCCGCGCAGCAGCCAGCGGTAAGCCGAGCGAGCGGCGGAGCCGGCGGCCGCCCTGAGCTGACTCGGGCCGCGCCGAGCCATCGCCGCCCGTCGGCCGCACGCCGCCGCACATCTCCGGCGCGATCACACACCATTCGGGCCGGATTACGCCCGTGTTCGGCGTAATTTAGCCCGCCGGCCGCGCAAGGAGGCGGCTGGTTATTGGCTCGTGAAGGCGTCGCGCGGCCAGAGGTCGTAAAACGACGGCCGTCGCCTATCCGCCGCGCCGCGACGAGGCGATATTGGCGCCCTTGTTTGCGCCGAGACGAGGCACCCCGCGGCGTTTGTGGCGCGCCGGGACGGGCGCTGGGTCGATCCTGGCTGGGATTTGTTCCGTGGTCACCGAGGTGGAGGATTGGGCGCCGAGACGGACTCGGTCCGGTCGGCAGATGTGGCGGCAAACTCGGCCGGCGACGACGCGGACGTCGCGCGGGGTCGAGGCGGCTAAATTCTGCGGCGCGCGGCAGTCAACGGTTTCTGATTGTTAGCAGAGGATGGGTCGGTACCTGCGGGTGAGTAGTGGCGGGCACATGGGGATGACCCGTATAGGAGACACCCGCTGGTGGTTAGGCAGCGCCGTATGCGCGTGCACACACACAGAAAATGCTGCCCACGCGGTGACCACCGTTTTGAATGAGTGAAAAAGTGCGAGCAGGGTCACGAATCAATAAAACGTCACGTGGTGGAAGCAGCCTCCGGCCCGGAAAAAAACTGAGCCAACTCTCTGTGGTCGGTAAGCCTTAAGAGGGCGAGGGAGGGTCACTCCCGCTAAGCTTCAGCACCATGTCGGCGGCAGCGTCAATCGTGGCGCGGGTGCGGCATTGGTCGCGCACTTCTCTGATCGCCGGCGGGCTTCGTGGGTGGTCGGCCGCATGGATAGCACGCCGAACATGATCAACTGTGCACGCGGAGAGTTATCGGTGAATTTCAATTGGCGCCGGCAGTGCAGTGGCACGGACTTATTCCCCGCCATATTTGTCACGCCATTAGTAGCACTCCTTATTGGGTATAGAAGTGGGCGGATCAGGCAGCTTTTGAGAACTCATTTACATCGGTTCTCAACACCTGCACACTGGGTATGTATGGCAGCCATGCATTCATAGGCTGCTCCTTATAACGCCGCACCCTGCCTGACCTCTGTACCTCCACGGTCCCATGGTTCCATGGCTCCATAGTTTCATGGTTCCAGTACTCCTCATGTACTACTTTCATGTAACCATGAAAGTAGTACATAAGTAGTACTGGTTCCATGGTTTCATGGTTCCATGACTCCATGGTTCGATGGTTCCATGGCTCCATGGTAACCTCCATGGAGTGCCGGGTGCCATGGCTGCTATTATAAGCGGCGCCTGGTAGCACGACTACCACGCGCCACCAGAAGTAGCGCTAACGGAGAGAATGTGCTTTCAAAGTAAAATATCAAAAAACCATCGTGCTGAAATGTGCCTTTAAGGACGTGCGCAGGACTCCACATTGGGAGGGGCACAATATCCGAATTTTCACTGAAAACCGAGTCTAGCGCGCAACAGACGTGCAACGTTTTTACGCGTCGTAAAACACACCGTATGCTCTCGATGCTCTTATTTTGGCAATCACATTCCCCAGGGGCTACTACGTCGGTAAGCCCCTGTGCACCTCCACATAGAATATCGTAAAAATTTTGCATGCAAAAAAGCACTTTCTTAGAAAGCAAACGGCCAAACCGTCATCGTGGAAAAATACGACACTTCAGTACATCTAACGGGTGTCACCGAGGACGACACGCCGGTGTCACTTGCTCCCCACATACACGACTCTGCTTCACGAGGAGTACACGACTCTGCTTCACGAGGAGGCCTTCCCCTACCGGGCCGGGCCGGGCCCCCGCCGTTCTTTACGGGCATGGAATGTCTGGACAGCCGCTGCGAGACAGCATGGAAATTGACTCATTACAAAATATGGCTCGGCAGAGAATATTGTGAGTCGTATACATGCAGACGCATACCCGTGTATGATAGTTCTGGCTGTTTTCAAGCTTTCTAAGCATTTCACGTTATATATATATATATATATATATATATATATATATATATATATATATATATATTACATAACATTGATGTGCAAGCACCAGACGATGCAAGGGACCGTTTCATTGTCATGCCGTTTGAGTGACATTCAGACATCCATCAATGAACGCTAGTATCGCAGCGTGAAAATTTATTTGAGCAAAAGGAAAATGCTCGAAATCTATCTGTGATATTATGCGAATATGTTCGCAAGTGTGTGTATCCACCTCACTACATGCATCAAGCGTTGTGACCCTGTTTGCCTGAACGAGACCCTGAGGTATCTGGGCTGTTCTGTTCCATTGAAGCCAAAAAGCCCTCTCCATCACGCAAACGGAAAAAGAGTGGCTTAAATACATGTAGCAAAAGATGGGCTTTCTTGCTTCCTTGCACCCATACCGCTACCAACCGCTGACTTGATATTCTTGCAATGTATGTTTGGTGGGCTACTACGCAATAAGCAAAATGGTCCAGGCAATGATTACGTGGCCTTCGTTACATCGCCATGTCACGTTGTGCATGCGTATATTTCAAGAGCGAAAATGTGGCTCCAGACGGTGCAAGTGGGGTAAATGGGACAAAGTGCTAACATGGGCATCTCTGCAGGCGGCCGGGAATATCATACAACACCTTGGGTGGCGCATTTCCATAATGTTGTAAAATGTAATCCACCACCAATTCAAACGCCTGAAATTTATCGCCTCTTATCTGACAACAAGAGTCCGCGAATTGAGTTATCATTCGCCCTGTCTTCTCCTCTGCACGAGCCTGCATGAAGACATCAATTGCAATTTTATGGTACTTTGTCAGATAAATCAGATGCAAATGCCTCAGTCAGCTCCTCTCTCATCCCGCGCGTGCGCTGCAGAGGCAGCAGGTGACATCAAAGGCGCCGACCGTGACCCCAGATCAGCTCCGAACAATAAACACCATGTTCCGACTCCGGGGCACGCGGCTAAACTCAGCTGCCCGCTAACATTCCACCATCCTCTCCAAACAGCCGTGTATATGAGAGGCCAGGCGCTAGCGCAGCTCGTAGTCTCGCGCTGGGCGCTGGCGCTCCCCGTAGTCTCGCGCTGGGCGCTGGTGTTCCACGTAGTCTCGCGCAGGGCACTGACAATCCCCGCAGTCTCGCGCTGGGTGCTGGCGCCCTACGTAATCTCGCGCTGGGCGCTGGTGTTCCACGTGGTCTCGTGCTGGGCACTGGCGTTCCACGTAGTCTCGCGCTGGGCGCTGACGCTCCCAGCAGTCTCGCGCTGGGCGCTGGCGCTCCACGTAGTCTCGCGCTGGGCGCTGGTGCTCCACGTAGTCTTGCGCTGGGCGCTAACACTCCCAGAAGTTTTGCGCTGGGCGCTGGCGCTACCCGTAGTCTCGCGCCGGCAGCGACGCGAACTGCGGCGTCACCGCGACCGCCATGAATCCCGCCGAATCACCGGCCGCGCATTCGTCCCGACACGCCGCCGTCAGTGAGAGGCGGCCGTGGGGACGAAGCTGGCGCATCAGCGCCATTCATGGCCTGATCGCCGGGCGCAAAAGGCGCTCACCGACCCGGCCCGGCCGCCAATGGCCGCCGCATAAAAGCGATAGTGACCCTATTGGGATCAGGATCGACGGCATCGTTAGTGGCGCAGTGGGCGTCGGGACGCCTCGTGGGGCCTGTCCGCCGATGGAGCGGAGGGGGGGGGGGGGGGCGCTGAGACCGGTTTGGTGGCCAGGTGGGTAGCGATGGCTCATGTTGGGTCACCATTCCGTGACCATAGGTAGGAGAGGACTACGTTCAGAAGATGGTGTGCAATGCATCTCTTGTCACCTTGTCTTCTGTGTATATTCCGTGCAGTTTAGATTATGTACCGCGACAAAGGTCGGAAATAACACATTTTCCAAATGTTCTCCATCATATTCTCGCACCTTCAACAACTTGCCTCGATCCTGGTAAAGTTTTTCTCATGAGTATTTCCTGTGCTATCATGTTGCAAGCGTAAGCGCTGTTGTCAAATTAAACCCAAATCTGACACGAGGAGCATCTCGGAACGCGCCATTCGACCACTTGCCCAGTAATCGGCAGAGCAGAAGCTTGTAATTTCGTTGTCAAAATATCCAAAAATTCCGAGCTTTAACGCCTCGAGGGGAACCAAGGCCTGACGTGGCAATCCCTGGCCTGCTTATCAAGCTCAATAACATGCACGGAAGAGCCAGGTTAACACCAAGACATACGATACGTGCAGCATCGCCCCACCATTCGACGCCGCTGCCAAGTCGCAGGCGGCGCTCAGACTCCGACGCGGACAGGTGGGCCGCCGCCCGCCCGCCCCTGCACCTCTGACCTGTCACCCGCCCGCCTCTCACCCATGACCTGTCACCCGTCCACCCCTGCACTCCTGACCTCTCACCCCCCACCCCAGCACCCCTGACCTGTCACCCGCCCGCCCCAGCACCCCTGACCTGACACGTGACCCGTTCGGAAACGAGACGTACCTTTCTTAGGCTCGCGATCCGTCGTGTGGCGGACTACGCCCACGTCGTTCACCTCCGGAATCTCTGCAAAAGGTCAGACGACGGCGGTGAGCATCGTACCGGCCATAGCAGTCGGCTGGTGCCGAGAGCACGGGCGGAACACGGGCGGGGCACAGCCGAACGCGACCGACCGTGGCCGCGCGCACGCGTGGCTGGAGGTTGGCCTGCTAGCACTCCCCCACGGGGTCCTTCTATCGTCCCCCCCCCCCGAGCACACGCGCTTGCAGATCAGGACGAGCGGAGCACAAGGGCGCCGTCGGCGGCCGCCGCTGCGGCCCACACGAGCGACCTCCCCACAGAGGCCGCAGTGTCACATCGAAATCACAGCCTCACAGGCCGGATCCTGAACTACGTTTCCGACGCAGTGCCGTCGACGTTGGCTGAGTGAAACAAAACCTGGCGGCGAGCGACTCTTTTCGGGTACGACAGTGCTAATCCTCGGGTTGCTTTATAGGGCGCGTCTGTTGCACGGCCGTGGCGATACGCTATCTCACACTGAGTGTAATTGGAACGGCGAAAACATCAGCCGGTGTCCGGGATCGAACCCGCGAGTCGGCGAACGATCGCGGCTGAACGCTCTTGGCCAACTGAGCCACGCAGCTCCCGTCCCAGATATTGAACTCGCTTGGCTTTTATTGGGCACCTTTCATCATATTTCAGAAACGCAGAGCAGCCTGAGGCCTGTTTGCTGGCGTCTTTTTACAAGCAATACTCCTTTCAAAGCCGGGTGGGTAAACTTTGTTGCGTTGGCCGCTCCACATCAATTCGACGCAGGGACGGACATCAAAAGCGGCTTAATTGCCGGCGAGTTCTCGACAACTTTTGGCCGAGCTTCTCCCGTTCACCGCTGTCAACTGACGCCAGTTCGACGGCCGCGTTTCTTTCCGTCTGGATGCCATCCTTGCCCCCAGTCCCCCCCCACAACCGTCACCAAGCTACCCCCTCCCCCTCCTCCTAGTGCGCCTGTGCCGACGAGTCCCGGCAGTCGGCGCAGTCGCCGGCGGTACAGCGCAACCATGCCGCCCGCCAAGAGAAGAAGAGGGGGGGGGGAGGAGCTGCAGCCGTAGGTGATTCGACCCGCCACCGAGAATCCACCACGCCTTCGGCTATAGGCACCCGCGCCGGATTGGCCTACACCAATCCTGGCGCACGCCAATCCCACGTCCCTGGGGGAAAGTTAAGGGAGCCAAAAGTTTTACCACCGCGCAAAGAACACCAGAGCTGCATGCCAGAGGAACCGTGTGGAACTGAGCCTGTGACGTCAAAGCGACCCCATACCGCCCGCGCGGCCCCGGGGGCGTGGCTCTTATGTCGGGTCCCAGCTGGAGCTGTGGGAGGGGGGGGGGGGAGGATTCCGAACATTCCCGATGTTTGTGTTGAGTCAGGCAGGAATAGATCTCTTTGAATTTCTGCCGTGAGTAGGAGTTGGAGCTGAGTCAAACGAGTCAACAGTGAGTCGGCTCGAGCAGAGGTGTGATGCCGTGTATTAATAGTGCGGCTTTCCATTACGGGTCTTTCTCACTAAAAATTACCGCAGTACCGTGCAACAGGTAATACAGATTAAACGAAGCTTTTCAAGCAGTCATTATGATTTACGATAAAGTTCCCCGATCTTTCCACGCTGTGCTCACGGCATTGGTGTGGACACTGCCTTGAAATGTCGGTAATTGTCGCAGTATCTAAGTGCAAATGTTATGTTGATGCATTCGCCATGCATATGTCATGAGGGTCGGTGATTTTCAGCACAAAAAAATAGAATGGCGAAATGACAGGAGCAGAATTTCTATCCTGCTTGTTTAAAGGACAGCTTATTACGCAAACCGAATGAAACACGCATGGCATCTCTTCAAACAGCGGTCAGTGAAAAAGACAATATCGGGCATCGGAACCGATTCCAGATGTGAATCACTTCTTAACCCGTATCGATATCAACTAATCGTTGCACTGTGCTCCTCAGAGCACGAGTCAGATCTCCATCCCACCCCAGTCCGCCCACACCTCCACACAGCGAGTCAGACTCGAAATTGCCTCCACGGACTCAGACCCGAGCTCTCCAGATGAGCCGGCACTCACTGATGCAGGGCGCGATCGGCGAGCGGCTCTGCTGGTAGCCCTTGTCGCAGCGGTTGCAGGTGAGCCCGGTGACACCGTCCTTGCACGTGCACTGGCCGGTCGTCTGGTTGCACGTCTTGCCCTGCGCGCCGATCGGGTGACAGGCACACGCTGCGAACACGGCCGATCCGGTCAGAGGCGGCGCCAGGCGCGCGTCGCGAGCAGTGCGGCCAGCGGCAGGGGCGCACGCAGGGTTTCCTCACGGGGTGCTGCAATGACAATGCCCTTTTCCTGAAAACGCCTGAAATGCAACCCGGATTCGTACACACGCGTATTCAGCGTCTGTGAATGAATCTACGATGCGGTGGAGGCATATGCCCCGGTGGGAGGTGGGTCCGTGACCCTTGACGTGGGGGGGGGGGGGGGGGTATCTGATAATCCACGGCGCGGGCCTTGTCAAGACAGGTACAGGCGGAGACCGGAAGAAGTAGCTGCGCTGTTGTGCCCACCGCTCGGGACAAGGTACCGGTTAGATGGACATGCAGAAGAATTTGAAGGGGCATTGGTTAGCGGACAGGACCATTTCGCAGACCGGCATTGACACGATCGCCAGAATGATCCGGTTCAAAACTTTCGTCTCTTCTGCATGCCCTCCTGACGAGAGCTGAAGGCGCAACTGCGTATCATAGTGCCTGTAGTTCAGTCCGTTGCCCCCTGCCCCAAGTGTACCAGGCTGTTCCCACTAGATCGCCCTGGTTACAGTCTGCAAGAAGTTGTGTGTATTACACGCTTCATTCAGAGCAGGACATAATTGCATGCCTGATGCGATATTCAGTTAAGAACGACTGAATTTCTCGCGGTGGGATGCGCGCGTGTACTTTGGTTATGTGCCTGAGTAACGTGGCGAATCCAGGGTGGCCAGCTGGGTAATCCTCAAAAGTGGGTAGTGCATGCCTGCCGTACGTTCAAGAAAATTCAAGCAACTTTTGTGTTGGGAAGCTTGTTTCAGACTCCCATCATGTAAAAGGAAGCCAAAGTCGACGCTTTGTTTGGGAATCAGGATTTAAAATATCTTTCACACGCCTATCGGCGTTGCCCGCACCATGTGGCATTTTGGATCTGCCTATGTTGAGGTAGCCATGTTCATGAAGGTAATTCAAAGTTGCCAATAATTTGTTGCATTTTGTTCCTCCACAAAGCAATAAGAAATATCCAAACATATCAGAGCAGCATGCGCTTCATGAATTGTAATGTAAGCATTGAAAAGACAATTCTAACAAATTTGCATGAAAAATTTCTGGGCAGAATTAAACAATAACCAAAAAATAACGCACTGAGCATCGTTGTTCTATGAGCTCTAAATATCGGTCTACATTTTCGCCCGCGCCCCCTCGTGGCTCCGTGGCGCAACGGTAGCGCGTCTGACTCCAGATCAGAAGGTTGCGTGTTCAAATCACGTCGGGGTCAAAGTTTTTCGCCAGCTAGATCATCGCGGACAAACATGTCGGTTATGTAAAACAAAGCTGCAACCCATACTGTTCACCTCGTGCGATGAATACTTCAAACGACAGCAATTCCGAGCATCTTATGGGAAAAATGAAACGTACTGCTTCAGACTTGGAATTTTACGTACCTTTACGGCACGTAAAATGAATAAGAGAAGCCTCCAGTTCATATTTTGGAGCAGTATGGGATCTTCTACTGAAAATCAATCAATCAAAAAAGCATTCAGCTATGTTTTTGAGCATAACGAGACCCTCTGCTGAAAATCACCGACCTGTATTATGCCAGTAGGCACTGGTTAACCGGATTCCTCAAACAAAAATGAATAAATAAGGAAAGAGTATGAGCTCATACCTTCACCTTTAAGATGTGTGATGAGGGTTTAATCACTCACTCAGAGGGGTGCTATCTTCTAGGTTTAATTCAAATTTAGCGGAATTCTACACCTCGTGTACGGTATGGAATATTCAAGTACCCACCAACGATAACCGCAGCACAGCACAAAATTTGCGTATCAAGTGATGCTGGTTATTTGTGCCGTTCGATTAGCGACACCCCGTGACTAAATTATCGACTCCCGTTGCTTTGGGAACGTGTTCAACGACTTCCACCCCATGGCGAAGCTACGGAACTAATGCAATACCAGGACATAGCTGAGAGTATTTAACCATTGACTCGCATGATATGCCATGGCCACATTTCGTACCGCTTGCCTTCTTGCTTTACCGCACCTGTATGCTTTTACAAACGCCGCGTCACGGTTGTCTCAAAGCCATCAAACACACTCAACAGATTTTGCTCTTCCAACGAAGAGTCTACGAGATATCGCCTGGAATCTTTGTCATGCAGCTCTTGGTAAACAATAAACAAAGCCGGGCAGGACAGATTTTAGGTGACGTCACGTACTTTTTATGATGTTCCGAGTCAGTGCACCGTTGTAGTATCAGTGCCCTTTTTTATTATATACGTGGTTAGATCAAAGTACGGGTGTATATATTACATACCCCTGTACTTTGATCTAAACGCACCCGATTCCGTATATTGAGTCGGTTTCCTCGAATTCTTCCTCGCGGACTTTCCCACCGCTCAATGCTTTCTATTTAAAAAATCGCGAAATTTGGCCTCAAGGCGTTCTTGGCTCTTTGAAACACTACCTGATGAAAAGGGGCATGAAGTAATGAGATGACTTGTTGTGCACTTGGTATCATGCAAGTTTTACCGACTGCGCATGCCGTATGCATATCTAAGGAAGAGATAACGGTTGTATAATCCTCCTCATGCAATGTTCTGCTATGCGCGGGAAGTTTTATATCTAAAAATAGCGTTCCTTATTCATGACGTCACTTGCGCTCTGTTTCAAACCCCCAATGGCCTGATTCATGTGTGGGAAGATCGCGCGATACCCTGCTTGTCCTTATCTTGAATTGAAGACAGGTAACTGACCGACACAACGTTTTACCGCGACCACGGAATACACAAACATTCCCCGACGTGCTAGGGATGTCTCACTCCGAAGTAAAGACATACTTAATTTGGCCCCACGGCAAAACTGCACGCGCTATAAACAAGACCTCGTCCTCACCCATATAAAGGAGGCGGTATTTGCGCAATGCTTGTTGGTGAAGTTATCACTGCTGCTATCACAACGGCAGTGTAGCTCTCGGCAGACCAATTAATGAGCTTGTTTTGCAACAAAGCTAACTCCACACAACAGTGTCTAGAAAGAACGAACAACAACCTCCACAAAATAACGCGTCCGGGATCACAACCCAGCCCGCAGCAGCTGCTGTCGGTCGGACACGGCACCAGACAAGGCGATGCTTTGCACGCACGCAGCCCGTGATGACGTGAACTATGGCCTCGGCCACCCCACCGGTTCTGAGGACGCGGCGCTGGCGCGCAAGTGCCGATTCTCGGCAGGCCGAGATGCGCCCAATGAGAGAGGCGAGCCGTTCGCCGCGTCGGTGAGGCGCACCAGTTCGCGGACACCCGGCGGAAGGGCGCTGACAAACAGGACGCGCTGGTTGCCGCTGCGGCAATTTGTCTCAATCGAAGCCCGCGGGCCACTGTGTCATGCGCCAAAACGACGTCGGCCATGACCCTGAGAACGGTGCCGGAGGGCTGCCCCTCTATGAGGCGAGACTTTGCTCACATGCTGCTCGCCTTGACGTAAGATGCTGAGGACATGCCGTGAGATACTGAGGGCATGATACGAGACACTGAGGGCATGACATGAGATGCTGAGAGCATGACGTCAGATCCTGAGTGTATGACGTGAAATTCTGAGCGCATGGCGTGAAGTACTGAGGGTATGACGTGAGATACTGAGTGCATGGCGTGAAGTACCGAGGGTATGACGTGAGATACTGAGGACATGACATGAGATACTTTTAGGGGGTTAACACCTCAGCATGACCCAGTTCGACACAGCATATACTTATAGTTGTGTCATTTCAGACCAGGTATCCAACAAAGCTGCGCCGCTCTCCCCAGAGGGTCGTATCATGTTCTCAGACCTTACAAAGCTGAAGGTTTAAACCGGTCGCTGTCCCTAATGTTAAATCGCGGTTCTCACATGTTGTAGTGCCGCATGTTTCGGCCCCGTTCGTACGCCTGCCTGTACTCACGCTTGGGGGCCTTGCAGTACTGAATAGCTTCAGCGCTATCACCCTGTGGTCACGCTGACGGACCTCGCTGCACCGAACGGGTTCTCCCCTGCCGCCGTGTACTCACGCTTGCAGGCCTTGCGGTGCTGGATGGGCCGGCTGGGGTCGCGGAAGAAGCCCTCGCGGCAGTAGTGGCAGTGGCGGCCGGCCGTGTTGTGGCGGCAGTTGAGGCACACGCCGCCGCTCTCCCGCCCCGACAGCTTGTACAGCTCCATGTTGAACCGGCAGCGGCGCGCGTGCAGGTTGCAGTTGCACGCTGCAACGGCGAGGAAAGGCGAGCGTTACGGCCGTGTTTGACATGGGGTCCCCATAGTGCTACATAGTGTTACACTATGTAACACTATGGGGCCCACTTCCGGACCCCATAGTGTCACACTAGATGCCACGATACTGCTGTCTTTTTTCTGTTATCACACTCTTTTATGAATCACAAATACACCTAACCTGTTTTAACGCTGGCACTGAAGTCCGACTCAGAACGGTGGTCACTCGGAGGGCATGTTTACCGCATACTCTTCTAACCGCACGGCGTGGGGCATAAGTTCCCATCTACGCCTGGTTAAGCCATCAACGTCACGTGGGCACGCGCCAGCCCCTCTCCCTCCCCGCGGCGCACGTGCGGCCCGGCGCGCCGTGTCACGTGACCAAGCCGGGGTTCTGGTGATGCAGTCACGTGACTGGAGCAGCGCATCTGTTCCTCGCTGATCTATGGTTAGCGGACGTCGTAAATCTCCGGGAAGGGGAGCCTGCAATTTGTTGTCGTTATTTGCAATACGTTCCCAATCGCGCTAATATTTCGTGGGCGGCAAGGGCGCGCACAAGTGGGCGCGCGGTGGAGGACATAAAGATGTCCGACAGCAACACAGCAAAGCACATTCCGTCGCCAAACTGTGAGAGGCATTAATGTAAGTACATAGGTGCAGCTGCACGTGCATGATCTGATGCTGAAAAAAGGATCAAAATGTGGCAGTGACACCCATAGATGGCGTACAAAAACCCATAAGACACGTATTGTTCTCGTGCTCCGTGTTTGCTAGCCGCAGCCTCAAAGCGTTATGCAATTCTTCAGTGGGCCACAGGCCGCTGCTCTGAAAAAACTATACATATCACATGCACAATTTAGTAGCAGGCGGGGCAGCCCAACCCCGATCACGGCCGCCATATCTTCACGTGCTCCCCTCCGGTGAGCGCTGACTACGCCCCTGCTGATGAAGGGGTGCCGCCCGTGGCTCCAAACAAATGGAGCGCGAGGGGTGTTGTATAAATGGTTTATGATCTGTTTGGCCACCGGTGGCCGGCCCCTGCGGCGGTTATCAAATCAAATTACGCCATACGCGGCGTCTCGCTCGCGGGGATGGCGGGAGAGGGGAGTTTTGGCGGGGCGCTCCGGCGCCAGTCCCTGGCTAGTCGGGGCGCCGCCGCGGCCGGGGCCGACCGCTTACTCCGAAAAGGCGTGAGGAATGGCTGGAGTCTTCGAAATCAAGCGAGCCATTGTTCGCAGGCACGAGGGGGGAGTCCCACTGCAACTTTGGCATCAGTTGACGTTTCACCCGGTGAGTTTATCGCGGAGTGAAATCGGAGATAACGAAGCGAAGTGACCTGCTCGCATCTCCTCGAATATCGTGAGGTTAATTGGTGCCCGCGAGGCAAGATGACTGTCGAATAAACCATAAAAGAGAAGAGCACAATCTTGAAAATTTGCATGAAATTGCGTTAACTCAATGGAGCTTAATACCGCCTCATGTTGACATTGTGTGAATAATGCTCGAATACCATTTTATCCGTTGTTTTCAAAAGACGTAACCACATTGCAGCGCTCTAATGTGTGTTTTGGTCTTACGTACCAGACAATGACGAACGGGATGGTGCTGACAGACGTGTCACCAGATTTCATGACCTGCGGGCCTGCCTATAAATGCAGGACCCGACAGCACCTGCCATCTAGCGTACGGCAGCGGAGGCTGCAGACGGTACCTAATATGAAAACCTCCGGTCTCGCTTTCGCGCCTCAGTTAAGTCATATTCAGAACAAAAAGCACAAAGATTGGAGACGAAGGATCAACACTCGTATTGTAACGGCTCCTATCATCTGTTTTTGTTGGAACTAATATTGTCAGGGACTGAAGATGACTTCCCATCAGCTGGTTGGACGTGGACCGGAAACTGCGGCCGAGCGATAGTGTACTCGAACGCATGAGGCTACGTAGACGCTTTCCTCGCACAGTAAAATTCAGATGAAGTAGTGACCACAGTGATGCCTCATCCTGCTTTAACACGCGTTCGGGTGAGCGAGGGTCAAAATGACCCTCTACAAAGATTTTCCAGAATCTTTTCTGAACGCCGCAGCGTAGTCGGGCGAAACTTCGTATAGCTGTAAAAAATTGAATAGCGGATCTTTTGATGCAAAAACAAAATGCACCTTGTAAGGTCGCCGCTCTATGGCGTGTCAGTCAGATAATGCCTGTCAGCGAAGAGCGTTTCTACGGAATCGTCCAACACGGCGCAACAGCGGAATGTTAGAAGAAGCCATACACATCTGAAATAGTTTCTTAGGTAATAGACCAATTGAATTTATAATTACAACCACTTCCATTGACCTAGGTTTAGGTGTGAAGGTCAAAACGAGGTCAAAATTAACATGTTCTTTACTCGAGAGCTTGGTATCATGGGGTAGTTCCTGGTACTCATTTCAAATTGATTAATGGTGAGGACCGCAACAGACTGTTTCATGGACTTTTTAAAGGACAAAGTAGGTCACTGGCCTGCTATGACCCTGGTCAAAATTTTGTTTTTAAAACATATTACTTAGAGTGAGTAATCCAGGAAGCTCACCCGAATGGCAAAATAGGATCAATATTGTGGCTATTTGGTCAAATATATATATATATATATATATATATATATAGATGTATGTATGTATGCATATACATGCGTATATATATATATATATCATCACACTATAGTCCTGATTTCCTATCAAAATATGAGCTGGCTTAACTTCCCTAAATATGTCAGAGATCAAAGTAGCAGTACCACCGCTAGCATGTGTGGGGGATCCATTCGCCTACTCCAGCATGTCTGGACACGATGCATTAGTTTTGCTAACCTGCTTTTGTGGAAAGAACGTTCAGCTTGTCGTAACCGTACTTGGCAGCTTGTGCACGTCTGACGAAATATCATTTTGGACATCACTGGAATTATCTGCACTTGTGGGTATATAAACATGAAACTAGACTTACTGAGACCATCTGATGTGCCGAAAACAGACCGTTGAGGTAATTTGTCTGCAAGTAATTATCATCATTTTTGGCCTTGCATGCAGCGTTTGTTAGTCATGTAAGAATGGAAAGCCCACGAAGAAGAGCACAGAGCTTTTGCCCAGACCCTTACCGTCTCTGCTTTCCCGTCTCTACGACTGCCGATCCGAAAAGATTCTGATAAATTTCCATTAGCTATAATATGGTAGATATTTTAAATATAAGTTCCACCAACGAGTATCATCTCACTCTTCCCCGATATGTTTCAGTTCATGGATGAACCTTTGCGCCTATATGGAGGCCTTATCTCCCCCCCCCCCCCCCCCCCCCCACCGCCCTATTCGTCTCGGCCCCGTGAATGTGGTACCCGAATCACCAAGAAGTCACTAAAAAGCACTACAAAAAGCAAACAAGAAGCTCGGGGTTTGGGGAAATATGACGTACTTGGTTTCTCCAGACCCACTCCTCAATGAATGAAGTGAAGCTGATCTTTTGCTCGGTGTTAGATACGCTTTGCCATCAACAGTAAGTCTGCTGTGGAGGCATCTCATCGTCGATGATTTTTTTCTGAGAAGCGCTCAAGCTAACGCGTAAAACCGTTTTGGGTTTTGAGAGCGCGGGCTTCCAACTTCAGCCTCAGCCTTTTTCACTTGACAAAGCTTTCCTAAACGTAATCACCACGGTCTGGCAATACCTGAACGATGCAAACAAAAACAATGCAGTTATGAAAGAGGGCCATCGAAGTGCCGAAGTGCAGTGGCCAAAATATGAGACCTAAGGCGCATTTGACTGCCCGAGGGGTGACCGCCTCATGGTAAGAAATAATGAGAAAATACCGATGTTGAGAAATTATGCCTTTGCCCCAAAGTAAACCTGTTTTGCTGATATCGCTCTTCAACTTCTTCTGACACGGTCACGCAGCATTCTCTTTTTCCCAGTAAAGTCACTAGCACTCGTAAGCTGCATAAGTTTTCCTATATTCATGGTGCTTCTTTGAACCTGTTGTCTCGTTGGCCTTCAACAAAAAAGCTCCGTGCATTTTCTCGGTACTGATCATGAGTACGCTGCCTGTGTTTGAATCGATGGGCGCGCCAGCAAGGATTCACGACTCAGACTATCCCGCAGCCGTGATTCAGTGCTCGGCCACCCTGCATCATTTACAACAACGCCATTAATCTTCGTCGGGCTCGTGCACCAGGACCGCGGCAGCTTGCCATGCCAAATTGGCACCATAGGACCACCGTGGACGCTTCGTCGTAAATCACCGATGTACCTGAGATGGCTGACTTGAATGATGCGATTTTTCGTTCAACGGTTGTGCAGTGCAGTAAGGGAAATATGTAAAGCGATCTAGCGTCATAAATTAGTGACGATCATTTTACCTTTTACCAAACCTGACTGCAAGGCTACTAATTTGTTGAAATCATTTGATACCAAAGTCGGGAGATGTTGTATGTTGTATGTCATCCTTTGACACCGTTAGGAGAAAATTAGGAAGATGATTGCCGAATTCGCCAAAAGCTCGTAAGCCCTTGAAGGAATAATTAATTCGGAATCAGGATTAATGACATTAATGATCCCATGGCAAAACATGGTGCGAGCTTTGAATCACGCGCGGTAAGACAGGAGGAAACCTCCGAATCCCCCGCCAGTGGCATTTTTCGAGCTCGTTCCCGAACTAACCTTCACAAAGGCGCACGCCCCAGACCCCAGCCACGACACTGGGAGCTCTGGAGCGAATGACCCCGGTCTTCGGCTGTCTCCAGCCGTGATGAAGTTCACCCGGCCGGAGCCCACCGCCCGACGACCGCGAGTCCCCAGGGGCCAGCCATGAATCGCCCGGGGGCGCGCCGTGTCGCCTCGTCAATCGCCGCCGGCCCCGGCCGGCCTTACGGGGTCGCCGCCGCCGCCGACGATATACGGCGCGGGCGCGTTCCCAGCCGCCGACCCGCCCCGCTAAGTGCTCACGGCCAGATGAGGCCTGCGCAGGGGCGACGCC